CATGTTCGGGCTATATCAAGTAATGCGTAGTTATGTAAGGCCTATAGTGGACAATCCTACGCTAGATTTTTTCGGGCTTCTAGGTGTGTGGGGTCATAGGTCCACAGTTGACGCCCCACCCTTGATTTCTTTGCAGCCCGAGTGTGAACCACAAACTCTTGGGCTAGCTTTGGCTTTAGGGCTTAGGCGCTACGACAAGAAGCAATCCTGCAAGTTACTCCAAGTGGAGGGTTTAGGGCTTAGGGTTTAGGGGCAAGAAATATCAGCCCACCTGAAGCCTGCCTCCACCATTTTGTCATGGTGCTCGTCCTGCCGTCTAGGTTTCGATGATAGCGCAGGTCCGCTTGCTAGTTTCCCAACATCGGGAGTTGTGTTTGCAAACTCCCATGAGCCATGCAACCTGATTTCCCTTCAGCCCTAAAGCCCCAGACCTATAAACCCTGTAAATCCTGTGACCCTACAATCCCTGTAAGCCCTAAATGGCGTGGCTAAGGATGACGCCTGCGGCTGGATCACTGTGTCCAGTTATGCGGGGACATTTCTGGAGCCTTGCTAAGCTCCTGCTAGCCTGCGCCCAGTTTTGCGGAAGCAGAACGTTCATAGTAGGAACAGAAACGGTAAGACTGAGAAGTAATACCCATATCCCACTCGGAACAACACAAAACCAAGCTCGCAAATTCTTCGTTGCCTACGCAGCCTAGCAAACCGGGCGTGCAAAGTGCTCCTCGGTAAGTCCCGCTGTCAACAAGTGGGACCTGTATCACTTGCTAACACATTATCAGGGGCATTCTATCGCACCTGCGATGTCCACTATCCACTAGATCCACTAGCCTGGTTAGCAGCCAGATGCGAGCAAAACAATGCATGTGATCCGCGTTCATGGGAGTGGTGGGGAGGGCATGTGAGCATGTACCTGTGGCTTCAGACTGCAAGATTGCTTACAAATAGTGGAGATGATGGCCCCTGCATGTACCAAGAGGGCGAGGAAAGGACAGCATTGCAACATGTTCCTGGTCTGAACCTGCTTTAGTTTCGCAGCCGCATCCTCTCAACTGCCGCGTTTGGCTAGCTGGGAATTCGTGGTCTCTCCGACCTCCCACGCCAGGGTCTAGCTGAACTAACCTGAGGACAAGCCATGTATATCAAGCAGGTGATCATCCGTGGCTTCAAGACCTACAAGGAGGGAGGGACACGTATGGATGTGAACACAGGCTGATACAGATGTATAGTCCCCCTTAAGTAGATAGAATATGGTTTTGGGGTATATTATAATAAGATCCCCATATACCCCATATTCTATCTACTTAAAGTGGACTATAGGAACAGCCCATGTTCAAGCCCGAATGCCCGAGCTCTGAATCCCACTACCCGGAGCCCTCACTGTTGTGAGCCGGCTTTGTATAGGAACAATAGTGATGATGTACCTTAAACTGGGATATAGGGGTTCTACAGGGAATATAGGGATATATACATATATATATATGTTATTACTATTTAATAGTAATGATCCTATGACTAGTAATAATACTAGTAATAGTAGCAATAGGAATAACATGCAAGGAGCAAACGACTTTGGATGAAGACTTCTCCCCGGGCACCAACGTGGTAGTGGGCTTCAATGGCTCTGGGAAATCCAACTTCTTCCAGGCCAGGTAAGGGTTTAGGGTTCCCTAAACCCTAAACCCTAAACCCTAAGCCCGGGAAGGGTTGTTGAAGCCACTCCCAACGATCTCTTCATTCTGCATGGTGTCGGTAGACAGCAATTCAAGCCCAGTTAAGGGCTTGCGCTTTTGCATCCGATGCCGGGTGAGTGTAAGAATTGCCAGATGGCATCGACTTGGAATCCCAAATTAAGGGGAGCTACAAAGATTGCTGTTCTTAAAAGGAATCGCAAGGCAAGTGCTGTGTGTATGTGTTTCCATTAACTAATGGGGGACCCCAATATGAATCCCAAGATACCATAGTCCTTTGTATTATGCATGGAGAGGCTGCATAGCCCCCAGTCCCCCAAGGCCAAACCCTACACCTTGTGCAGGCGATTCTCTTCGTGCTGTCGGACAAGTTCAGTTCCTGAGCTCCCATTTTTGGGGGGGGAGAGCTTTGGGATGCTTTGGGCGCCTGCAACAACTATTCAGATGCGCCTAAAGAATACTAAGTCGAAAGACCTGCAAGCCTGAAGCGCTGAACCCCTGAAAGCTCAACCTTAGACTACCTGTCTCTCCGAAGGCCTGTGGTTTACATAGTAGTCTGAGCCCCCTTAGCTTCTCGGCCAAACAGGTATGCAAATGGGGTTACACGTACTCTCCTCCGAATGCCAAAGTCTTAAGAATCAAATGTCGACACGGGGTCCCAGTCTTGCAACTTGCTTTTACGTGGTCGCGGTTTAGGGTTAAGGGTTTAGGGTTTAGGGTAGCTTACGGCTTAGGACTTCAAACCACGCCCTTCAAAGAAAACGACTCCATGCCAAGCGTGCTGCCTCCCACATAGTCAAAATGCCCGCCAACGATGTAGCTCTGTCAGTGCCATGACAAAACCATTACGCAAGGCCCAAATAATTAGCATAGTTTTTCAGGGGCATATTGCATTACAGTGTGTACAAGGGGAAAGATGCGATTAGTCAGGGTCTCCTGTATAGCCTTCAGATTGTAGCCCTGAAGCCAGTTCTCCTAAACCCTAGACCTAAAAAAGTGGAGTAGAGCCTCAAATCTAGCTGAGCAGAGCTCCAGGTTCTCTGCGCGCAGAGACGCGGAAGGCACTCCTGCATGAGGGCGCCGGGCAAGCAGTTCTCACAGCCTACGTGGAGGCGCGGAATGGCCAGGGGTTCCACCGTTCAGGGCTAAGGAGTCAAGGTTTGAGTTTAGGATCTAGGATTGAGGATTGGCGCATTTAGGGCGGGTCTAGGGTGAAGAGTGTAGAGCCTTGGTCTTCCCAAAGTCACAGCCAATTTTCTGGATGGGGAGGATGCCAAGGTAAGTGAATCTCGAGGCCGTCCTTGCACCCCAGAGCGGTCGCGCGATGGCTACAGGGTTTAGGAGGTTGAGAAACGATTGGTTTTGGAATGCGTCCAACTCCCACATTGCACATGCATGCCCTGATCCCGGAGCATTCAGACTAGAATTCCGAAACATCCGTGTACTCAAAGATACTACGGCCCTTGCCGTGGGAATATTTGGTAGTTTTCATAGATAAGGAGTTCCTAATATAGACCCCAAAACACGAGAATCCTTATTATGGGGACCCCCGAAAGGGTAACCCGAATTGTAAGAAACCCCTATTTCTGATCACACGGGGGTGAATGACGCCGCAAGGTAGTGCTGGACAACTCGGACCGCCGTCTCTGGGACCCACAGTTCGGGTGTAGTGGATTGTGGTTTAGGATTTACGGTAACAGGGGATTTTGGGGTCAGTGCAGGACTTTTGGTTTCTCTTGACCTGCTACTGTTTCGGAGGTCCGGTTCTTCCCGTGCTATTAAAGGGGAACTATAGCCGACACACCAGAGCCTGAAGGGCTATGTCATTGGACCTCTGCTGCCAGAGAGATGGCTGACTTAAGTTCCTTAACAGCAGCCCAGTAATGCAGGACTTGTCCACCAACAGCGGTAGCTGCTTGGGGTTGCCAGAAATAAACTTGGACCTTGTAAACCCTACACAGAAAAGGTCCGAGGGGCCTTATAAACCTTAGACCCTAGTTCCTAAACTGAAAAACCCCTAAACCCTTAAAGCCTAGTCCTTAAACCCTAAACAGAAAGCTTTAGGTATCCCCTACGAGTCTGACTCTGTCTCCATCCGTCGCCTCATCGGCGTGAAGAAGGACAGAGTAAGAAGATAAACACTTTTAGCGTTTTAGGGCTTAGGGGCCTAGAGGAACTGAAGCCCTAAACCCTAATCCCTAAACCCTAAACCCTAATGTTTAAAGAAAATCAAGGCTGGGACTGGGGGTTGAGGGGTCTAGAGAATAAGGGGTTTAGGGTCAGGGGTTAAGGGTTCAGGAAGTACGCCTTGGTTGGGGTTTCGGGCGTATCTAGGGTTGTGTTGAGCATGTCCGGTTTTCTTACCAGAATCCCAGGTAAGAGCTAAGATCATACCAGGGTACGATGGTAGCTAGGGAGACTAGGTTTGCAGCATGGTGGGATTCATTCTGGCCGCCAACTTTTCAAAACGCACATTGGCAGGTATCGACAGTGTAAGCATCCCACCTGCATCATGCACTGGGACTTGGAGTAGGATGGCAGCCACGGAATCAGGAAGGGCTCATACCCTTCTTCAAAATTACATTCAGAAGTACACTGTGCTTTGGACAGCATGTTGCTCCTGGACCCTCTCCTTTTGTGGTAGCCGCTAGCCGTGGAGCCGTCCCTGCACAAGAAAACCGAAGCACAAAAACCAAGACAACACGAGCTTCCGCTTTCATCATACGACGATATCGCAGCACCATCCTAATCAGGAGCGGGATGATGATTATGGGTCTGCTGATGATGATGATGATGGTGATGATGATGATGATACTAAAGCCATTCAACCAATCATGATGATGAATATGATGATGGGGAGGAGGAGGATTCAGATCAGCATGGCGTTCACGTCCACAATTGCTCTGCTGACCGAAGTGGTATGGGCATTCTGCGGTTTCCACATGTTTTACTAGTTTAAAGGGTCTGGTCACAGACTGAAAGCGCCTTGTACTTCAAGCATGCCCATTGTCTCGGCTGACAGCTGGGGTGCCGCTCCCCTTACTCTGTTTCATCTGCCCTCAGGCTCCAAGTACCCTGATGCGATACATCCAGCCCCCAGGTGAATAGGAACCATTCGTCTTTAGAGTTGTACTGTAGGTGTTTGCACCCCTGGGGCTACACCATAAACCCCAAGTAAGACCCGAATCCTCAGTTTTCATTTCATTTTCTATTTGATTCTCCCAGTATTGGAGTAGCTTCACTTTACATCGCGCGCAAACAAAGCCCGATAAACCCTAGATCACCAACCCTAAGCCCCAAGCCCTTCAGGACGACTGGCTGCTGGAGGGCAAGCATGCAACGAAGGCCGAGATTTTCGGCCTTCTCGAAGGTGCAGGCTTCGCCAAGACCAGCCCATACTACATTGCGGCATGGTGGCAGAGCTTGCCCTGAGGGTTTAGGTACCCAACAATTATTTCGGGGGTTCTCATGAGCCATTGTCTAAACTCCTAGTATCCCCTTAATAACCCCCATAATAGTCCCCTAAATGTATTAATCCCCTATATAACCCCGTTTAAGGAGTTTAGACTATAGCTCACATGGTGTAGGGTTTTGGGTACTTGTCTCCAAAACTACGGTCTCTTTGTAGGTAGTCCTACCTCTAAGGTGTTGCATTACACTAGGGACCCAGAGTGGGACCATGATCTTGACCGTCTACCATGTACTGAGATCGCGCAGTATCTAAGCATGAGCCCTTGTGATTCCAGAGTATAACCCTAAACCCTAAATAGTAGTTTCCATTTTCTTTTTCATTATCCCTATATATCCCTATCTGACCACTATATATCCCTATATACCCTAAACCCTCCACCCTAAACCCAAAACCCTTAAGCCTGAAGTGTGTACTCCCTTTTCCTTGGTACTTAGACCATCCTGAGCTTCTTTTTCTGTGCGTGATGATAGTTGGGCTTCATGGAACATACTGCAACAGGCTTCTATGGGGTTACATAGGGATTCTATAGGGATGATGGGTTTTTCTGGGGTTGTATAGGTTTTATCTAGGGTTTTTTTAGGGATGCTGGGGTCATATAAGGGTTATATAGGGGATTGTGGAAAAGAACATGGAAACTACCATTTAGGGTTGAGGGTTTAGGGCGTATTCCGCCTAAACCCTATAAAGCCCTACATTGCCCAAGCTTCCATTTCGTTTGCCATCTTCTTCTCCGTTTGTTTCCGTGATTGGGGTCATACGCCTAAATGGCCTAAATCCTAAACCCTAAACTAAACCCTCAATGGCCTGAATCCTAAACCCCATCTTGGACCAAGGTGCAGCAGGGTAAGGTCAGTGAGCTGACCATGATGACAGATGTGCAACGTCTGGGACTCTTGAAGGACCCTGTAACCTTAGGGATTTGGGTTTAGTCCAAACTCTAAACCCTAAACAGCAATGCTTATATAGCCCGTATACAGCTAGGTTGTTCCCATATTACCCTCCAACAAGCTGTATTTTTTGAGGTTTGCTGGCATAAGGTTTCCCAGTTACCATGTCATGTTCCATTTTCTTGTTCATTTGAGCCTCCATTATTGGGGTATTACCCCCCCCCCCCCTAAACCCTGAACCCTAAACCCTAAATAACACCAGATTACCCTATATTCTCCCAATATTACCGGATTTGGGATGTTTAGGGTTCAAGGCTGAAAGCCTCAGGGTGCCGCTAGGCAGACGGGAAAACGGTGGAATTTAAACGCAAGGATTCCTGAAAATCTCAAGTGCGAGAGTGAGGATCCTCAAATGACTGGCCTTTGTTGCAGGGACATCTTGATTTTGAATTAGTTGGGGTTGCAGGTGGTTTTCTCCAGAGGTCACACCCTAGACTCATACGGAGTCATTCTATTGCATATACTCTTTTCGGTTTCTGGCCAGCGCATTAGCAATTACCAACAAGAGCCCGAGTGGGAAGTTGCCCTACCTTCTCCGGCTTGGCTATAAGTAGGCTTTAAAGGGCTCTTATGCATTTTTGTTGGTCCCTATTCAAGGGTGTTGGAGCTTTGGGGTCAAGCTACAGTTGCGTCACCTGACCTGAACCCAGATGGTTGCTTGCTTGGATAACTGACCCAAAAGGATTTCTTTCAGGTAAATGAACTATACCAATTTGAGCTGCGTTATTTGCATTTTCTGCGGCTTGCTCTTCGCTTTCTGGCAGCGTATGCTTGGTCTCAATCCATTCCCCGCTTCAAGGCGCGAGTATGGACGATTCAGAGTTCAAGTTGGGGTTCAATCACTGTTGAACAATGAGCGCCAACGTATCCCGCAGGACATTTCGGGCGCCGGCGTCTACGACGAGAGGCGCGCAGAGTCCGTGAAGATCATGGAGGACGTGTCGAAACCAGCCTCACGCACCTTAGTTATTGGATTTCACAGCGTCTCCTGGCGTTGTCAAGGGCTTCTAGAGTCAGACGATTTCATCTTCTCAAAGTAGTGGGTATCTTGCAGTTTTCTCTGTTGGGGGGCCCAAAAATCCTTCAAAAGTCCCTCCGCAGCGGGGGATTGGCTCAAAAATGTATGTTAATTTCAGAGTAGTTTTGGAGTGGGTTCCGGGAAGGGCCCCGGGAGAAACGGAAGCCCTATGATGCTGGTGGGCCGGGGTTGGCGGGGGCCGTTTAAGCCCTGCTCCCTGGAGATGTTGAGAGGGACGGGAATCTACGGGCTCCGACTGTCCAATCTGTAGCTGTTTGCTGTTTCTGCGAAGGAGCACAAGTGGTGGTGTGGAGCAGTCAGGAAATTCATCGCAAGATTTGCACCGTGGAAACCACAGCTGGAAAGAAATCCACCTTGAAATCCTGTCTTTGCTGCACTAAGCTTTCTTGCGCCGTAAAGCCCTGCGAACGATTCATTAGACGGGCTTGCGTTCTTCAACAGTCTGCCTGGAGCTTCCAGAAAAGCCCGCATAAGGAGTGGGAGAATCCATCCGTGTAGTCTATCTTTGGGGCTATGCGAGCAAAATCCCAAAACCCAAACAAACAACTAGATTTTGGTGACCCCAATCCCCAGATTTGCAATACTACAATAGTCAGAGGATAGCTACAAGGTCTTAATTGTGGCGGTTGTGGTTATCTGTGTTCGAGGGGTCCAGTCATCGCAGTCCAGACCTCTGCTGGCTGGAACAGGACGCGCTAAAGAAACCAAATCCTAGAAATTCCCCGCAGACAAGTTCCGCCTTGTGTGATTGAGAATCTGAAGAAGAGGCTAAAGTTGGAATTTCTACCAGGTTACCAGGGATTTAGGGAAGGTACAGAATCTGTGTTGGGTGTTCATTCTCGGCGGAAGCCTTCTCTTGAAAAACCCGTATTCAAAAACCCTAAACCGCCTGGGGGCATCTTAGAAAAGCGGCCTGCTGGTGATCCCATAGGGTTTAGGGAGATCGTGGCGGAGGTCCCACTTGAGGCTTATAAGGATTCATATTGGGAGCATTTTGCGATTCTCGCATGTTGTGCCACCCAAGTTCGCGAGGATACCTCCACACGGAAGATGCGCAATGAGGGCTTGATCTCGGACATTGAAACCAAACTTCAGAACCTGGAGGAGTGTCATTCAAGGGTGAGGGGGGGCGCGGTAAGTAGACCTCTAATCCATATAAGCCACATCTTAACCCCACTAATCCCATGTTGCCCTCCAAGTCAATACTGGGGCTTGAATAAGGGTTTACAGGCTTTGGATATGGCTGAAAGTGGCAGGAAGCGGGCTGCAGGCCCTTTGTACGTAGTGCTGGGGAATCAAAGGTGAAAGCTTGAAAGCCAGGCCTCGGGGCAGATAAAGAGCCCCTACTGACCCCCACATACTAATCCCGCTACCCGTTGAGTAGCCCCAAGTAGCCTTAAGCAGTTCTCATTCGGGGAGAACCACCTGGAACCCTAAGCCCTTTCAACCCTTAATTTGCAGACTGCTCATGCAGGGAGACTGGGGCTTTCATGTAGATTTTCGGGGTTTCATTACTGTAGGCGCTTAAGTAGTTACCAATCTCATGGCCCCAAATTCCTCCATTATGTAATTCGTACTTTCGGTACCTGGATGGTACAGCTCAACATTGGTAGGTATTTAGATCCCTCCAGTAGGTGTCTTGGCTTGGCGTTTGAGGTGTCGGGCAGGCTGAGGGAGTGGATGCAAAGCTGTAGGTTGATCGTCTACCAGGACCTTCCTTGTACCCTTAGTTGGGGATATATGGTCCCTAATAGTGGGTACTTAGGCCCTAATTTAATAGAGGGTAGGAGGATGGTCTAGGTAGCGATGTCTGAATCTGAACCATACTTGGACCCCAGAAGCATGTAGGATATTGGCATTTTGTGCGGCCGTGTTACCTACTTGTCTTAAGGTGCGGGTAAACCCCCAAGCCTAAAGCCTAAACACCCATGTTTTGATGCAGTGAAACGCTGTCTCCGAGCCTTAAGCTTGCTTGTTGTGTAGCACTTCTTGGGTATCCGAACAGCAATGCAAGCTTACATTACATGAAACAAAATCCATTTGCGTGTCCAGGACCCAAGCCCAACACCCTAAGCCCTAAAACCCTAAATCCTACAACCCTAAGCCCTAAAACCCTAAACCCTACAACCCTACAACCCTAAACCCAACAAACCTAAACCCTTCCAAGACGGAAGTTGCACACTTGGTTAGACAGGAAGAGCAGCGAGAACTCCGAGAGTGTGAGAGGCTAGGGCCGCCAGATCTACAGTTCGGGGTTTAGGGTTTAGGGTTTGGGGGCTTAGGGGTTTGAGGGTTTAGGGTT